ATGTCTAACAATGTATTTGCTGTTAGTGAAAGGGTTTGAAATTGATTAAACCAAGTTTTGGATCGATTGACACTTTTTTACATAAATAAATCTGATATATCATAGTGATATTTCTAGAGTTGAGTGTCAATCGATACATTTTATACAATTTATATACTTTGTGATTAAGTAGAACCCGTAAATATCGATGAGCGCTCCCTAAACACGTTTGCTTAGTACTTAATATTCTGAAAATGATTATGCCGCGACAATTGAAAGTTATATCAATGAAAATGCTATGTGTTTCAAAGTGACAATCGAGTGTCAATCGAGCACGTGTTCAAGCTGTTTTATATTACATACATGTTTTCATGTCAAATATGCACAATCTTTAAGTGGTCTTCGATAACATACCCTTGCATTTTATTTAGCATTAACCTAGTTCGATAATTAATCAGATAGATGTGTTTTCTCCCTTGCATATAGACCAGGTTTAATCGCTCGGAATACTACCCTCCCCACACTCGCATCTTTCAGTATAAGCTCACTTATAATATACTGCTGGATTGTGTTACATTTCAAAGATATTGACCACAACCGAAGCACAGTAAGGACGTTACATATGCCAATGCAATTCAGTAAACATGTTATACTAAATGCTATACGATTTTCGCGAAACTGATATTCTAAAACACCCGGTAATTCAAAAAGGTTAAATATGCCTTTCAGACAATCAGTTTCAAAAGTCTTGGGACAGACGCCACAAAACCTTTGAATTTCAACAAACGTCAATCCCCCCGGCCCCCTGTTCAATGTTGTGTCCCATTTCTCGTCAGGTTTGATGTGTTTTGATTGGAGCAACATTGACTGGGGTGGGGGGAGGGGGAGGGGAGCGGTATTGTTTGTAAAAAACTGTAGTTATCCACTTACAATCTAAAACTACATGTGTCCCAACAACTTCTGAAAGTGATTGTAGATACTGTTCCGAAATATCACTTACTCGAACCGTCCTGACCGCGTAGCTCAGTTGGAAGAGCATTGGGCTAGTATTCCAAAGGTCGTAGGTTCGAATCCCACCGTGGCCGGGCATGTTTTTCAAGCTCGCCCGGTGTGGATATGCACTCAGAGTAACATCACAAACATAGTGTTTCAGTATGTCGAAATTTACAGTTCAGCTGTAGTAAATGGGTGAAGGTGTATTTAATTAACTATATATTGGATAAGTGGCAGGAACGTATGGGTAATATCTTCATTCATTCTTTGCAGTTTGTCATGGATTAAATGATAAAGGTCTGCACAGGGGCGAAACTTGAGGGCCCCCGTCCAAGGTGTGACCCCCCCCCCAAGTACAAATCATCTAGATTGGCAGGGAAATGAAAGATTTTAAATGATAGAATGTAGAGTTATTAAGTAGATTCCAGGGCTTCCAGAGGGAATTGAATAGAATTTATAGACCTTAATTTTACAGATATTGGTAAAAAAATAAAGGTTTCATGCATGTTTTAACAGGAATTTGTGCGGAAAAAAATTTTTGACCCTTAATTTAATTGGTTTATGTCCAGAAAAATTTTTTCGCCTCTTTTTTCGCCCCTAAAAATTTTTTCGCCCCTTTCCGAATGTCCGGAAAAAATGTTTTCGACCTGCCCCCGCTCGCCAACATTTTTAGGAGAAATAGTGGTCAAAAACATTTTTTGCTGCTGCGCATCGTTGGCTTTCGCAGGGCAATTCTAGCAGACACCCCCCTAATGGGCTACTTTCGCCCCAGGGTCTGCATGATTTTAAAAAATGAATGATTATTAGCAACTTATTGGGGGGGGGGGGCTGCAGCCCCCCAGCCCCCTCCCCCTCTTTGCCAAGGGCCTGATTAATTAATGTTTTACGTTAAAATTCCCTAAGAGGATGAGAACCGATACCCAAAGCATGCAGGCTACAGCACTCCACATATCCCTATGCCTTGAGGAGCCAGTGGCAAGCACACTGGGGCCTGAGTCTAACTCATTTGGAAACATCCAATTCGTTTGGAATCATTATTATTTAATCCCATAGATCACCCTGAAACAACGCATTCGTATTTAAATAATGTCGACCCAGATGCTAATTTTCCATTCCGCCAAACAATTAGTATAATTATATGGTAGAAGAATCTATTAGCGATCAATGAGACCTTCTCATTAATGCACCTAAATGCTAGAAGTTCCATTGGCAATTTTGATAAATTTGAGATTTTGCTAGCAAATCTGCGGAAATCATTTTCTGTCATTGGGGTAACAGAAACCTGGCTAAATGATCTTACTTCAGACTTAGTCAATATGCCCGGTTACAGCTTTGTCTCCAACCTCGTAAATCCAAAACTGGCAGAGGAACCGGCCTTTATTTGAAAAATAATCTTCAATATAAAATATGCTCTGAGTGTATACATACTCAAATCCCGATGTAATTGAGTCTTTATTTGTTGAGATAACAGGCCGCCCAACAAAAATACAGCAGTTTTTGTCCACGAATTGAATGACATTCTTATTAACATCACCAGAGGGAATAAGCTCTGTTACATCATGGGTGATTTTAATTTAGACTTGCTCCGTTATAGTGATAACGTGCCTACTCATGAATTTATTGATCGCCTATTTTCGTATTCCTTTTATCTACTTATTTCGCATCCAACGCGTATTACCTCTCACACAGCTACCCTGATTGATAACATAGTCACTAACCAACTTTCTGATAACTTTTTAATGGAATAGTTCCAAATGACCTTTTTGACCATTTACAAATCTTTGCATGTTTTCATAAAGACTTTAATCCACATTGTCAGCAAAAGGCATTTAGACGGTCCTTTAGCGAACACAATATCAATACGTTTCGCGAATGCTTTTCTGAGATAAACTGGTCTAAAAGATTTAATGGCTTAGATATGATGTTAATAATTCTTATGATATATTCATAAATGAATATACTAAGAAATGAATATACTAAAATATTTGAAGCTTGTTTTCCCATGGGAAGGATCAAATGTAAGAGTTTACAAAACTGCAATTCTCCTTGGATTACAAAAGGACTTTAAAATCCATCAGCAAAAAAAATAGGCTTTATAAGCAATTAATAAACTTCCCAAACAAGCAGCGTGAATCACGGTATAAAATTTATAAAAACAAGCTTACTCACGTAATCAGAAACGCTAAGCAGACGTATTATGAAAATAGATTTGAAATTGCAAAGAATGACATGAAATTAACATGGAGACTAGTGAATGAGGTAATTAATAAACGAAAGACCAAGCAATCGTTACCCTCAGCATTCACGTCTGAAGGCAAAATGATAACGGGTTATTTTGAAATTGCCAACAGATTCTGTAAATACTTCACTGATATTGGCCCCGCACTAGCGAGTAGAATACCTAGCACAAATTTCTCTTTTCGCTCCTTTCTAACAGATAATGAAAATAGCCTGATTATCCTAAATGAGACTAATGTCCGCGAAATTGAGGAAATATGTCATAATAATAATAATAATAATAATAATAATAATAATCTTTATTGCACACATAAATTACATAACGAAAAATACAATTAATAAAAGGAAAACTCAGATATCCCAAGGATAGTGCAAAGTTGATGTGACAAATGATAATTAAGATTTTAATATGTTGAATCGCATAATGATTAATGTATGAACTGATAGGATTGATGCATCTATAAGGAAGTTGTTTGGCGTTTGTTTTTATATATTACAAGCCACGACAGTAAATTTTGTTGTTTTCGCATGGATGATTTTCCACGGCTTAATCCCTTGAATGGTGGTGGCTTTAGTCCAGATCTTTTTTCTTTGCTTTTAATTCAATTTTCCACCCATATTTCGTTGTATATTTAATACAAAACAAAATAAACCGCCTTCGAAAATGGAAATGAAACAAAAATGAACAGCTTGCAAGAAATTGTTGTCACCTGACAGGACGAGTTCAAGTCGACTGCGTGCTGGCCACGTGCTCCAGAACAGACCACAAGTTGCTGTCTAATGACTTTACAGTAATGCTATGCAAACAGAACTATGGCCGACATCTAAATATTTCTCACTTTGTGGTGCCCGTGCCATTTTTGGCACCGCATTATATTCTGCCTGTGCATGACTTTGTTTGTGAGTTTGTCTACTTGCTAAGCTTTATCTCTGGTTTTATGCGTCAAACAAGGACAAAAATACTACTGTTCGAATCAGCGTAAGAAATTATACTCACAGATGTCAAATGTATTACTAAACAACAGTATTCTAGCGATTTATTGCCTTTGAAAGACAAGCGAAATTGTATCGTTCACAAATCGCTCAAAATTATTAAACTAATTAAAAATGCAGTCCGTTTGATCCTTCATAACTTCGGAATTGTTGGTTTTCTCGTTTTTGGCCGTATGCCAGCGGATTCGTTTCACTTTTCTCCTCATTTTGATAGTATTTTGAGCTCAAAATATTTTATTTTGAAGGCTTTAAAACGCAGTTTTTATCCCAATATACAGACCCACTGGCGGCCGACAGGAGAATGTGTAGCGTGCTAAATATAACTTTACTTGTGCATGTAGGCGGAAACGCCGAAAGTTTTATTTGTAGGCGGGCACCACATTTTACTTTAGTATTGTGTCTAGTTAAATATAATATTTTACAGTTTATCAATGAAATGCCATAACTGCATAAGTGAGAAATACCAATAGTTCAGTTGACAAAAGCTTGGAATGACTGTTTAGGGACGGACCATTAGAAAAGTGATGGGGGGGGGGTGGCAAAACCAAAAAAAAAATTATTCCCAGAAAAAAATGAAAAAAAAAAAATCTTTCAAGGCATAGTGCAAAAAAAAAAATTCCTTGCTTAGAAGATAGGCCAAGTGGTGTACTGGAGGGAGGGCTCAGGGGAGCTGAGCCCCCTTGTTGAAATTTCATGTTGACTTGGGGGGCTGCACGTTGGTCAAATTTAGCAAAATTTCTCCCACTCGTGCGGGTTCGTATTGACAGCGGACATCTTACAGAAAGTGGCCAGTTCTTTGAAAAATGCAAAAGTTTCAATTTTACACCGCAAGTCCACTGACAATATGAGCCTGCGATCCTGGGAGAAAATTTGCTGAATGTGACCAGCGTGCTGAGCCCCCCTATATTATGGCACGTTGCATAATTGATAATCTTAACAACGTGCGAAAACACACACAAAAAAATACCAGTAAACGAGAATGTTCTTTAGAATTGCATCTCATTTTCACTCATCATTTAACACAATGATTTTTGTAATCTTTATATCGCCATTTTTGTAATCTTTATATCATTTAGTAGCACTAAATTGTAAATTTCGACATACTAAAACGCTGTTTTCTGACCATCAGAATTCTGTCAAATCTTCCCCAAAGTCCAGGAAATGGCATTTCAGAGACTCTAAATTTAAAAATTTCCTCGGGCCTTCGGCCCTCGCTTCGGCTTGTTTTTAATAAGAATAATGTCAAATGTTTGTCCCAGAATTACTAGAATAAACCCCAACAAAATTTAGAATTTCTAAAATATCTTATTGTACCTCCCCTCCCCTCCCGCCAATTCAGGGCACTTTGGAGAGCCCCCCTTGTTAACATTCCAGGACTACACCACTAATAGGCCTATAAATTTCACTTAAAGGGCCCTACAGTCATTTTTTAGTCGAAAGCCACCTTAAGTAGGGGACTCCACGGAGATTCGTTTGACTGTATTTTACATGCAGTATCCATGAGTATGAGTACTTTCGCACACAGAAAACGCATGCATACTGTGGTGCGCATGTCAAGTAGCGACAATAACAAAAAATGTAAACAATACTTACTTGACTAAAAAATTACTGTAGGGCCCTTTAAAAAGAAATATTTCCAACCATCAAGTGAGAAAAAAAATATATTTCTTCTATAGGTGTACAAAAAAATATATATTGCCTCTTAGAAAATCCCCCATCACTTTTCTAATGGTCCGTCCCTAACAATATATTACTTTTTAAATAATTTTCTTTGCGGCGTGTTTGATAAATGTGGTTTATTTATGTTAGCTATATTTTTAGTAATTCAGTTTCAGGAGTTCTTCTCGAGGGTGGGAAGCGAGGGTCGAAAAATCATATATAAAAAGTCGAGGGTCATATATAAAAAGTCCGGGGTCGTATTTCTAAAATATTTTATGGTTTTTATTGTCGAGGGTAGAAATTTGCGGGCATTCCCTATAGATAAATTTGCAAGTGGGACAAGCACAATAGCGAAAACAATACTTTGAAGATGGCGTTGCGAACCCGGAAAAGGCATACGGCAATGGAAAGGTGTAAACAGTCCTGATTACTCTGATTCAATAGACCATATAGTGAATAGACTGATACAATAATTTGCGACATGCAATCCGAGATAATGCAGATAATGCACCACGTCGTTTGAAACTATCTCGACTGTAGCTTTTGATCGGCATGTCTATTTTTATGTAGTAATATTTTGTCATATAAAAAGTAATCGCATATAAAAAATTAATAATTGCATATAAAAATAAGAGCTAAAAATTAAAAGTAAAGTAAGTGAACACAAACTTAAATTATTATTTTGTTAAATTATTAAAATGTACCCTCAAGCTTTTCACCCTCGAATTTCTACCCTCGACAATAAAAAAACCCGGTAAAATATTAGTGTAAAATACGGCCTCTGACTTATTATATACGACTCGAAAAAACACTCCTACGCATGTTTTAAATAGAACTTTTAATAAAGAACTAGATAGGTTTTATTAGAGATAATCAGGGTCACAATGTCCTTTTATTTTTATGTTATGTTATTTATTTATTTATTTATCAGCTTTATTGGACAAATATAGTAGAAACATTTACACGTTTAAGTCCAAAGGGGATAGCGCAAACGGGACAACGAGACCCATGCTAGGCGCACCCCCTCCAAAAAAAGAAGGAAAAAAAAAACCCAACCTAATTCACTATATACAAATATATATTACATAACATGCATATTAAGAACGGTGGCAGGAGCAGTCTCTTGTGAGCGACCAAGTGCATGCCATATCAACATTAAAAGTACTGTTGACCAATGCGGTGTATGTCACATGCAGAAAGCTTTTAAAAATTGTTAAACTGGCGAACTTTTCAGGAGAGGCTATTTTTCCAACATTATTCCAAGTTTTAACTATTCGGTTAAAGAACG